ATTGGAGAACCAGAGATGATTGGTTTTTCGACAGGCGCAATTATTTCCACCGATGAACCAGAAATTCATTAAGGCTGAGGGCAAATATTATTAAGATTATGGGCACTATTTACCCTTTACTGCCCCAATCTTCCGAAAACAGGCCAGTTTTTGACCGACTTTTTTCTGCGTTGGCAGAATTGGCTGAAAATTTGTCTCCTGGGGTAGTTTGACCTCCTGAACATGAATATCACATCCGCTAGGCACGAAACCTGCCTGGCGCCCGCGCCACGGGCGCCGGCGCCAAAATACCTTAAATCACCAAATTCGCTGAAAACTTGTTCTCAGGGGTAGTCTGACCTCCTGAACACGAATATCACATCTGCTCGGCCTGAAACCTCCTGGCCCTCGCGCTACAGGCGCTGGCGCCAAAATATCCCAGATCACCGGCGCCTGTGGCGCGGGCGCCAGGAAGTTTCGGGCTAAGCGAATGTCATATTCGTATTCAGGAGGTCAAAATACCCCAGGAGACAACATTTGAGCCAAATCTGTCCACGGAGAAAAGTCGGTCAGAAACTGGCTCAATTCTGGATGTTGGGGCAGTAAAGGGTAAATAGTGCCAGATTATGCACTGGTGGGAACTCGGTTCCACATGGCATCGTTCACTGCCAGTAAACAGGGAGTCCATCGCTGTATTGGATAACTTATACAACGGCTTGCCCCGACAAGTTACTTATAAGCCATATCGCATTGAAGGAGCCGCTACGTTACTGGATGGATGTAGAATGCGTGCCGCAACCCAACAAAGGTTTCACGTAGATGAGACGCTCATAAAGAACACTGTTGTAGGAGGAGATGCATCTCTTACTCCAAAAAAGGGTAATTCTCGATCAGCGTGGAGAATATTTGGTTTGTGGTGTTCTCCTGTACAAATGGGCCAGCAGTCGAGTAATAAACAGAAATTTTGGAAGGTTCATTTTGAGCGGAAGAAGAGAGCTTTTGCTCACAGGAAAGTCAAATGACCTGTCATTTTATGAGCCTTCAAAAAAGCTACTTCAGGCTGCCTCCTTGCCGTGAACGCTTTCGTTCACATAGTATGTCTGTTATTTGAATTGGTGAATGTAACATTCCTTCTCTCGAACCGACAACCTACCAGGCGGCTCTGCTATTCCATTATAGCACCATACATTCTTGCTATATCTCTTCAAGCTACTCTGATCCTGTTAACAGCAATCGACTTATTGATCGCACTGTTATTTCCAATGTGGTATGTTTCATTACTAATCACATGAGGGGCGAAACTCTCCGATAAAGTCAAGACTTCATGCTACGTTGAAGGTAGGGGGAGGCTGAGCAACGGAGAACATATCGTATCCGGCTAATGCCGTTTGGACTCCAGAAATTTCGTCTTCGAGCTCATTTTAAAAGTGGCAAGATCACCAAATCCGCTAAAAACTTGTATATAGGGGTAATTCAACATCCTGATCACGAATATGACATTCATTTTTGGCGCTGGCGCTAATGGATGACACTACGGTTACCTGCGCTCTGCTAAGGCTGAGCCCAGGAGGTAATCGTAGTGTCCTCTCTCTGGGGCGCCACCGCCAAGAATGAGTATCATACTCGTAATCAGGATGTTGAATTACCCCTCTATACTAGTTCTTAGTGGATTTGGTGGACTTAGGCAATTTGAAAATGAGCTCGAAGAGACGAAGTTTCGTAGAGTTCAAGCGCATTAGCCATCACATTCAACGCTGATTTCAGTTCTCGGCTTGCACCAGATCACACATGCATGCATTAAATACCATAAGCTATAGCTCGGTTGCAACATCCGCAAGGTTTTCCTATAACCAGTGATTATTTTCTTAATGTACGCGAGCAAATTGGCCGATTGTTGATAGATAGAGGCATGTTGGCATGGGTTATCCCTCGACCTCTGATTGCAACGAACACAAATGAGGACGATGTGAAGTGTGTTGTGTTTCCCATACCATGTATAATGTGTCTCATTTTCAGGCATCGCGGTAGTCTCAACGACAAAAGTATGTTTGACCATTTGTCCTAAATCGGGTTAGCGATATTTATTCCAGCTTCGTTTACTCATTTGGGGCTGGATTATGGTCGAGACATATGAAGCCGATACCGTTCTGCGAATCCTCACGCGTAGGATTAGTGACTACCAGTTTTTGGTGTGACTTGAGTGTTTTATTACCTGTGTATGATATTACATGTTTACTTATTCGATTTTCATTCAAATGGCGACTGTAGCATCCACTCTGAGTAGAAAGCTGTTCGTATGACGGGGTCAATGATTTGGCATACAGGAGACGCGTGCTTACTTTCTCCCGCTCAAAAAAGTGGCACGAGAGAAGTCAGAGTGGCACAGAGAGGCTCTAGGGACGTGACCCGACCCTGGTGCCGTCTCTATAATCCACTCCGCGCTATCCTAAGGATACAGCATTTGCGTTGATATCGGAATCGTGGAGTTAGAGGAAAAGAAGAGGGCGTGAGAGGGCGCAGACAAATAGCGCTATGGTGCAGGACTGGCGGCTGGTGCGCGCGGAGCGGGACAGGTTATGGGCATGGTCAATAAGCTGTTGCTACGCTTTTTGACCGAAGAAAGTGGCACGATGCTGCAGCTACGGACTTATTCATCCCGGCAAGGATCACGGACTTAAATATATGTGAAATGTATTTCAGGCCTTGCGCCGAACGTCTCTCGTATCTGGTCTATCACTAATGTGATCATCAACACTGTAGTTGTCTTTGTATATGCAGTTATTATCGTACTTGTACGCGTCAAAGGTATCTTGCTTCACTGCTTTCCCATGTTTCCACCGGTAACTAGATAGTAGGCCTCACTGTGAAATTCGTTTACTCCAAACCTGTAACACAAATTTTTCAGGGAATTCCTCGGCGTACCGCGAGAACCAAAAGGCGATTCGGCGTCTCAAGGTCATTGTGATAATTTTTGTCTGCTCCTGGTATATGGCGATTTTAGGAGTGAATTTCGGCTATATCTTAGGATTTTCACCTAGTGTTTTAGCCATATATCAGAGTAACATGGTGAGTTTTAGAGGAAATTCGGCTATGGAGGTCTTCATACCCTACTCAACTACGAATTCGAGTCGAAGGTGGTGTAGTAGCAAATGGCACGCTTACCAGGCGCGCGGTCCGGGAGTCAAATTCCGGATCGGCTCTCGCGCAGACCAACCAAGCCGACCCGTCTTCTGTCTAAGAACGGCAGTGTGGTCCCAGATTAGTCTAGGAGGACAAGAACACTGACTTGTACGTCGGCTTGACCCCGCAGCTCCTTGTAGAGACCACATCGTGTCCCAAAAAGAGTTTGATCAACGGCGAAGACTTTATCTCTCATCCTCCAAACATAATTTTTGAACTCAGCTTCACCACGCGGTCCTAGTTCTCATAACCCGGACAGCGCTCCTCAAAACTCTCAGCTGGTGGCTAGTAGTGTTGTTGAAAGTAATATGCGCAATGGTATGCATAGGATAAAGGAAAATGTTCAAGCGTACAGATGAAATAAATGGTTGGCATCAGCCGGCTTTTTTAACTCAGTGAAAGACGGGAGCACGGAGCTGTGGTTTACGATGCCTTTGAACGACTTTCACGGAATTACAATCTCATTATTTTTGTAGTTGTTTATGTTATGATCCGTTGTATCATAAAAGCCGTTGAGCTGAGAGGGTAAAAGCGGCCCTGGTGGCGTAACGGATAGCGCACTCGCCCGGAAAGCGTGAGTTGCGGTTTCGACTCCCGCCTGGGGTTCGACTTTTGCCTTCGCCTAACTTCAGCATTCTTGTAATACAATCTCATAAATTTCTGCGCTGTGTGAGCGAAGAGGTGTGAATCTCGGAGAAGAAGGAAGGTGCAACGAAATTGCTGCCTTTGTACTGCTGATGTTTTTGTAGTCATTGCTTGTGCAGGGAATCTTTGCATTCCCATCTTTTTTGTATATTTTGTTGAACGATAGGCGGAGGTGGTGTAGTGACAAGTGGCGCGCTTACCACTCGCGCGGCGCCGGGTTCGAATCCCGGGTCGACTCCCGCCCAGGCCAACCAAGCCTTCTACCCTCCGGGGACGGTAAATTGGTACCAGATTCGTCTGGGAGGATAAAACACTGACTTGTACATCGGCTGGCCACCGCAAGTCATTGTATAGGCCACATCGCATTCAATAAGCCACTACGATTCTGAATGGAAGTAGAATGCGTGCCGCATCCCACAAAGGGATTGATCAACGGCGAAGACTTTATCCTTTATCCTTATCCTTTTGTTGAGCAAGAACAAGATCCTATTGCTATCAAGTCATCAATTAAATATCTTCAAGGCTCATGTTGCAGAGCTATCAGGGCACTTCAGTCAATGAGGGGCCGGGGCAGGGGAGTTTTCGCTTAATGTGACCCCCGCCCCGCCGAATTTCCTCCTCTGGTACAACCCCACCAAGGGTACACCATTGGTTGGGGATTTTGATAAATTCCGCACGACCCCTTCCCTTTTTAGAGGGGTTGGTCGACCTCCGCCCTACTTCCCTTCCACAGCTGTCGAGGTGTCGAGTGGGAGAGGGGAGAGGTATCTAGCGCATGTGAAACAGGAAAAACACGGAAAAGAAGAAAGCCGTCACAAAGTCTTTTTCAGAAAGCCATAAGACAAATCCGACCTCTCCTCTCTATAGCGTCCCCACAAGAAAAATCAACTACCAGTTTTACCAAGACCATATTCGACGCCGCCTAATGGGGAATCCCTAACGACAATGTCCCCTTCCCATGCTACATTTCACCTTTCTGAGTGTTGCAAGCTTTTTCACACTTTCCTTTTATTTTCTCTGAGGGGTGGTGGACGGGGGAAGGGGATGTGCGGATAGCACGTGTCAAGCAGGAAAAATCAATTAAAAAACTTTCCCAGGCCAACTCTTCTTCTCCTGCTGGGAATCCGCGAGCGTACATGTGTCTCCAGAGCTATGCTCCTGCTGAACACTATTATTTCTTCGCTTCAAATGGTCAATCAAAGGCTTTTCAGGTGTTCTTTGCTCTGCTATGCTACTCGCAAGCCTTCTATGTGTGTATATGGCGTTCTCGTGAGTACAGAACAGCGTTCAAGGAGCAGTTGTACTTAATGACCTGTCGAAAGATGAAAAAGAAAGGCTTCCAGATGATCACAGCTTCAAAAGCTGGCCCACGGACAGCTACCTTGGCTCCCATGTAACGACCTTTCTATTTCATTCCTATTGAGGGTTCTGGAATTTCTAGGCGATTTCTCAGGCAGATCTTTTTTACCACTGTATATGTCTTTATGTTCTCACTTTTACTCGCTATTGGTTGGAAATTTGGAGTTAGCTGAAAAACTCTCCTAAACAAACTATTAATATGATTTTGACCCTGCTGCTAGAATTTCCCGAACTGGTATCGCGGGTTGCAAACTCCTGATTTACTGTTGATCTACATTTACTTTTCCACTGTTATTTTGATACTCCTTCAATGTTATTTCCTATAACTCTGAAGCTTTACAATACTTTGTAAATCATTGTTGTTAATGAGAAGTTTTACTGTCACAAGAGTAAAGTCGGAGTTTTGAGTGAATTTTTTTCGCCGTCAATCGGCTATGAAACAGCTTTTTCAAGGAAAAGCACTTTACGAAAAGTGTTCAGGCAACCATAGAAGAATGGCTATACTCCCTAGCACCCCATCGTTTTTGGTCATCGAGTCTGCTGGAGCAGTGTTTCCGTTCCACGTTCATAAGGTGGTACACCCCTTTATTGAGTTGATTACAAGAAAAGTCGGGGGTTAGGTTATGCGCCAGAATCGAGACAAGGTCGTTGGCATTCGAATACTCATGGTGACTGGCAACTGACAACAGTTAGAAGTCACGACAACATGCACTGCATATACACTGCTCCACATAATGATAGTTCCACCCATAAATATTACAAAATCCCGTCTTACATGAGGTTTTCAAAAATGTCCTCAAGTAGAAAATGAGGTAATAATCAATACCACTTTGCATGCCAACACCGGGAACTGACTTGAAAGAACAAGGTTTTTTTGTTCATTTTTTTGAAAATTGACACTCTGACAATTCCACAAAATGATAGTTCCACCTCATGTTTTTTTCTTCTTTTTTTCTGCATCTTTTTTTGTTGGGTAAAACTGTCTAATTATTGTGTCTTTGCCTTTTCTAGGCTATGGCAAGAGGACATTTATTATCGGCTCTTAAAAAAGGACAGATAATCGCAAAGAAGACTCGAAAACTGTCGAACCGTCGAATGGCGCGGATGCGGGCCGCACTCATCATGCTATCAACGATTTTTTCCAAGGGACCCACAGGATATTGAGCTGAGAAGAGCTCTGGACATCCTCCTTTGCTGCCCGATCGGAATAACCGCCGTATCCTTGGAAAGCATCCAACTCTGCAGTGTCGTGTCGCGAAATCAAGACATCTTCGGAGGTCAAATGTCTCGGAGAATACCTCAGGCGTCTCTTGAAAAACTCCCCATAGGAGGACTATGAGTTACGTACTGTTTCTAACGAAAAACCATCGGGAAAACCTAATTGGCTTTGCTTGAAGATGTTGCCGAACCCAATGAAGTGAGGTTGGCTTTTGGCTGCGGTGCCCTACTGCTTGTCTACGTTGTTTTTTCAGTTTTTTTTTCTCGCGGTCGTGTTTTCTGATGAGAAAAAATTCAACTGCGACGGCTCCGACGAAAACCGATTCCGCTGGCACGACCTGAGGGAAGACAAGTTTCATTTTTCCGGGCGGAACTTCAGTGGATGTGGTCTCATGGTCTGGGCTGCCATCGCATGAATGGAACGTCTGAAACTGCGCTCCGTATGAAAAAAGAAATGATTTCTTCCGTTACCTAAAAGTCATGCGACGACGTCTCCTTGCTTTCTGACGTAGATATCAGCAAGAAAGTCCCGTTTTCATGCAGGATAATGCACCAGTTCATGACAGTCGGAGCACTCGAGCGTGGTTCAGTCGTCACCAGACCGCTCTTTTGCCCATGCCAGCGAA